TTCTGACACAGGTTACAACATAGTTGGACCTTGAAAACATTATGCTAAGAGAAATAGGCCAGTCATAACAAGAAAAATACTGTATGATTCTATTTATATGAGACCTGAGAGTATCCAAATTCATAGGAATGGAAAGTAGAATGATGGTGTTAGGGCTGGGAGAGGGGGAATGGGGAGTTAGTTTAATTGGGGCAGAGTTTGTATTTGGGATGATGAAACATTTCTGAGAATGGATGATAGTGTTGGTTGTATAATAATCTGGGTATACTTAATGCCACTGAACTGCACAATTAAAATGATTAAAATGATAACTTTTATGGTAGGTATATTTCACTGCAATTAAAAAAGAAAACTCACAATGGCAGGAATTTAGATTTTTCCCTTAAATATCCTCTTGTATTGGTAAATATAAAGTATTTTTCTCACATTATGTTATTCTGCTAGGTGGTCATGAGACGCTCTTCTGCAAGGCCAGCAGGTAGAAGAAGCAGCCTGAAGAAATAAACAGAGACTTTCTGAGGGCAGAACCAGGAAGTCTTAAGCTAGATTAGAAATCTACTAGTTCTACCTGCTGATTTTGTACAGGCAGAAAGTGGGAGCTCAAGTAGCCTGAGTGAGGCCATATAGTGGGGAAAGTCAGGCTTCGGTGGCTCATGACACCTAAACTTTGACTTGTCTGCCTAGATTCATCCTCTGTAATACGCTTAAGCAATGGGTCGAGCAGGATGAAGCTCATCTTCTATAACACACTTAGGAAACAGAGTGACCAGGTCAGACACAGCAGCTCACACCTGTAATGCCAACACTGTGGGAGGCTGGGGTAAGCAGATTGCTTGAGCCCAGGAATTTAACATCAGCTTGAGCAATGGAGTAAGATCTCCATCAAAAAAAAAAAAAAAAAAGAAAGAAAAAGAAAAAAATAGCCAGGCATAATGATGCAAACCTCTAGTCCCAGCTACTCAGGAGGCTGAGGCGACCACATTGCTTGAGCCCAGGAGTTCAAGGCTTCGGCAAGCTGTGATCACACTGCTGCACTTAAGCCTGGCAACAGAGCAAGACTCTGTGTCAAAAAGAAAATGGAGAGAGCAAGACGGATAGAACAGTAGGTGCACACGTGCACTTACCCAAGGAAATTTCTGGATGAGGTTCAGATCATACAGATATCTTAGTTTGTGTTTTTAGATGGCACCCAGGAGTAAAATTAGTCATGCCATAAAAATATCACAGCTTGTGGTTGCAGGTTAGTTCTCACATTGTCTTGGTAAGGGTTGCCAACATGCTGGGGGTATAAGAGCCTCCAAATCCTCTCTATGCCTGCACAGTCAGAGCCAGGTCTTTCCCTGCACCCACTAACAAAGACCAGGGAAATAAATACCATGCTTGCAACCCTGGGTCACAGTTTGACTTAACAATCAAATATATGTCCTCCAAATTCAATTTAGTCCATTTTCTGAGTGAAACCAAATATGCTGGAAGAAAGGCAGGCTTCCTGTCTTTCCCAGCCCTTTTGAAACATGATTATTCTTAAGAAAGCCACCCTAGAGGACTGCTTCTGGTCTGACACTGGGACAACCTAGGCACGACAGGGAGGGAGAAAGGAGGGAAGAGGGAGAAGCCCACTGCAGAAAGAGGAGGCAGGTGGTTCCAAACTGAAACGCAGTGTCCAGACACCATATCTTTCATCCCCATCCTGAGAAGGCAGATCCTTGCTTCCACGCTTGGCTAGGGGTACCCGAGACAAAGCTCAGATTCTGAGATCCACTGGAAGGACTCCTGGAACTCAGAGGAGCCACTGTGCTCATGGTTATGGTTGCAGTAAAAGCATGCAGAGTGTTGTCAAAGGAAAAAGATGCACAGGCCAGAGCCCAGAGAACGGTGGAGGGGGGCGTCCTGTTGTTGACTCCCAGTGGAGTTGCGCAGACAGTCATCAATTCCCCAGGAACCTTGTGGACAAGATGTACAAAGTATTGCCAACCAGGGAAGCTCCCATAAGCCTCCGTGTCCAGGGATTTCGCTGGGGTTAGCCTTTCAGGCATAAGTGCCTCGTTACTGACCTTAGCTATTTGGATTTAAGTCTCTCCACAGGCGGAACAGTGTGGCCCAGGGTCCCACCATAGATGGCACTGTTAGGCTAGACTAGCTAGTGTGGCCCAAGACCTGAGATTCGCAAAGATGCTCTATCAGGCAGAATATTCCAAGGATTTAGAGGTTATTTCCCAGGCACCAGGCAAAGGCAAGACCTTTCTCTCACATGTGCAGGGTTTGAACGACCCAAGCCTGCAGAATCAACTCTACTGCCCGCCCACACTTGTCTGTTTCTGTTCCTCACTTCTCCAATGAGTGTGGAGTTCCAATGTCTCAGTGGGTGGTGCTAGGCAGGAGGTTTCCTGAGACTAACTAGCTGTGTGCCCGCTGGTGAAGACCTGTGAGTTCTCATTGCTTGGTCTCCTCATTGGCAGGTGACATAGTCACACCGACTCTGAATTTCCTGACAGGCATTAGGAGCCTTGAAGACAGTGGATAGCGAAAGAGCATCATGCACTGCTAACAGGTGTGAAAATCAAACAGCCACTCTACGGAGTTCTGTTTTTTTTTTTTTAAGAGATGAGGTCTTACTCTATGGCCGAGGCCAGAGTGCAGTGGCACAGTCATAGCTCACAGCAAGCTGAACTTCTAGGCTCGAGCAATCCTACCCCATCAGCGTCCTGAGTAGCTGGGACTACAGGTGCATGCCACCACACCAGGCTAATTTTATTTATTTCTGTAGAGACAGGGGCCTTGCTATGTTGCCCAGGCTGGTCTCGAACTCCTGGCCTCAAGAACTCCTGCCCCAGCTTCCTGAGTGGATTTCTGTTTTTCAATGGCTATCTCCTTTTCCCTCTAACATTTACAAAATGCTTACATATGCCAGGCACTGTGGTTACTGCTTACGTGGATTCTCTCATTTAACCCTCAAGTTTCTGAGGAAAGTATTATCATGTCACTCCCATCTGAGGGGACTGAGGCTCAGTGAGGTCCCATGAGGTCACAGAGACAGCTTTTAAACTGTGCCAAGACAGCCAGAGCGGGAAGAGCAGAGCTATACTGATTGCTCGCTGGACAAAGAAAAGCAGCTTCTCTCACACGGGTGTGTTCAGCGGTTTTCCCTAGGTTAAAGGAGAAAGTCTGGATGCAGGATGAAAAAAGACAAATGCTTTGCTCCATGAAGGTGGATTCTGAAGGGTGTATTTGACTAAGGAAACAACCGTAAAGTCTCCTTGGGCATTGGTTCTTGCTCTGGTTTTTGCCACAAAAGTGCTGCCGTCAAACAGGTTCTAACAGGTTTTACAATTAATATGAAGAGGCTCCAGTCACATTGCAAGTGAGTGTGATTGCCCCTCGGGATTAAGGATGTTTTTCTGTGGCTGAACTGAGGCATCTGTCCCCAGGGCTGGAGGCTGGGTATCCACAGCTGACCTCCTTCTCTCCATGGCAAGGGTCTCCCACCATCCCCCTACCCACCCCTCATGGCCAAACAACTTGTCATGGGCTCAGGGAATGTGGACTGGCCTTGGAATGAGAATGTGCATTTTGCCTCATTTGTGTGTGTGTGTGTGTGTGTGAATTTTTTATTTAATTTTTAATTTTTTTGTAGATACAAAGTAGATGTATATATTTATGAGGTACCTGAGATGCTTTGATACAGGCATGTGATGTGAAATAAGCACATCATGGGGAATGGGGTATCCACCTACTCAAGCATTCATCCTTTGAGTTACAAATAATTCAATTATATTATCTAAGTTATTTTAAAATGTATGATTAAGTAATTATTGACTGTAGTCACCCTATTGTGCTATCACATGTTCTCACTTATTTGTAGGATCTAAAAATTAAAACAATTGAACTTATTGGCACAGAGGGTAGAAGGTTGGTTACCAGATGCTGGAATAGATAGTAGGGGGTAGGGGAGAAGTGAGAATGATTAATGGATACAAAAAAAAATAGAATGAATAAGGCCTACTATTTGGTTGCACAACAGGGTGACTATAGTCAAAAACCTAATTATACATTTAAAAATAATGAAGAGTATCACTCAGCCGTTCCTGGCCTTTCAGCCTCAGAATGATCTGCTCTCCACCTGATCTACTATCTATTCATTCCCTGCATCTCACATGATGCCCTCAAACCTCTCTGATTGCCTTGGATCATATTTTTATTCCTTAGCTTTATTATTTTTATACTGTACACATGGACCATTACTTCAGCCTCAGGAAACACCTGCTTTGCAAAGCATTCTCTAAGCGCCTGACCATGCATGCCTCTGCACAAGGAGCATGGCCAAGGGGACTTTGAGGAGCCAGAGCGGCCTAGTGGGAAGGGCCTGGAGTCTGGCCTCTGCAGAACTGAGTTTTGGCCCCATTCTGCCTCTTTCTCATGTTGTTACCTTAGGAAATACACTTAACCCATCTGCATCTCAGGCTACTTCTTTGTAAAATATCACAATAATTGTACCTGAACTGCCCAGCCCCCTGGGCAGTGGGAGAGTTGTAGGGGAGACTGTATGTGGAATTTTTTTTGAAGCTAACAATATGAATAGAGAACCCTATGACTAGGAGGAATAATTATGTAAGACAGCATTGGAGCAGACATAGACTCCCACATACAGAGAAAAATAATTCTCAAACAACCCTATAGAAGAAGCAGACAGAAAAATAGCACAAGACATGAGCACAGGACATGCACACAGATAAATGTGTTCAAACCACAGGTTCAGGTTTATTTGGGAAGGCAGTTGGCAGAGAGAGCTGGAGAAGAGGTGAGATTGTTTACAAACGTGACTGGGACTGGGAGCAGAAACATACATAAAGCCAGTGGCAGTGTGGAAAAATCCAATGGCAAAAAGGAGAAAATGCCCATAAGTAGGTCTTGAAAACTACAATGTGATTCTCTAGGTGGCAACAACACATTCTACAGTGACGCTCAAGGAGCTCAACTCTTCTTGTCTATGTTTTGTTTAGAGGCAAGATTTGCCATGGTGCCCAGGATGGTCTTAAACTCCTAGACTCAAGAGATCCTCCTGCCTGGACCTTCCAAGCCACTGGGATTACAGCCAAGCTCAATTCTTGGAATGAATATCGTTATCTGTGGCCATAAGCAATGGAAAACGCCTCCATGTAAGGTGGGTGGAAGGAAATCCAAAACTGCCTGGTGACTTCATTTTAAACGAAGGTCACATGGGTTGCTTCAAATGCATAAAATCTCCAAACACTGTTTTCTGACCGAACACAGAAGAAATGAATTGAATGTCTTTCAGGAAGGAAGGAAGGAAGGAAGGAAAACAGGAAGGAAGGAAGGAAGGAAGGAAGGAAGGAAGGAAGGAAAACAGGAAGGAAGGAAGGAAGGAAGGAAGGAAGGAAGGAAGGAAGGAAGGAAGGAAGGAAGGAAGGAAGGAGGGAGGGAGGGAGGGAGGGAGGGAGGGAGGGAGGGAGGGAGGGAGGGAAAGAAAGAAGAAAGAAAGAAAGAGAGAAGAAAGAAAAAGAAAAGAAAGATTGAGGGGGTTGAGGGCTTTGGGTGATAGCTTTGAAAACCAAAACAAATTAAAAGCTTTTAAAAAACATTATGCTTTGAGAGAGATGTGACTGTGATCTGGATCACATAGTATGTGCTTGCAACTTCTGTTTCTTAGATTATAGATGAACTCTCTTCTTCATTGTTCTTGTTCTATAAATGACTAAGAGGGACCAGAGACCAGACCTCCCCCTCTTCTAATCACTGTTCTTCATTATAGATTAACTGCCTCCTTTATTATCTTGTACCCAACTCAGACCAGGTGGTGCAAAAACCCCTGACTGCTACATCTGCAGTGTGGGATGTTAAATATACCTTTCCCCAAAGGAAAAAAAAATCACCTTGACAAATCAGGTTGTTGTAACTATGCAATAAGCCTTATACAGAAAGACAGTGAAATTCTATTAAGCTTCCCTAAACTTTGTCCATATAAATGATACTAAACTTCTATACTTTGAAACACTGACTCCCATTCTTTAGGATCTGTGCTTCCTGAGTGGCTGTCCTCAAACTTTGTGCTCAAAACTAGATTCTTACCCTTTTGATTATTTTAGGTTATTTTATTTATTTTATCTAAGTTGGTGCAAAGTGTAAAATCTTACCTTGGCTACTTTTGTTTATTCATTTAACAAATGTTTATTTAGTGCCTACTGTGTATGTATTCTATGCCTTTGAGATACCCCAGTGAGCTGACAAAAATCCCTGCCTCTGTAGAGCAGGTGGATTTTGCTGGGGACCAGGGAAGAGGCAGAGAGACTGTGTGCAATAAACTAATCAACAAGGACGTTAAAGAAGAAAGGAGACAGTGATCAATGCTACCCAGAAAAGAAGAGGACAACTTGAAGGCAATTGGAAGTTCAGGATGGGACAGTTGCAATTTTCAGTTATAGAGTCATCTTCAGCTCAATGCTTAACCTCACTGGGCCTCCTTTCCTTTTCCATAAAATGGGAGGAATACCTGCCTCAGGGTCACAGCCATGATGCTACAAGGTGCTCAGTCCCGCATCTGATTCAGATGAATGCCCACAGAGTCACCACCATCACTGTTACTCACTTGAGTTTTGTCCCTTGGAACACTGTACACACAGAAAGAGAAAGTTGGTAACTATGGTTTATAGAGTTTAAACAGCCTCTTTCACCAGAGCCACTGAGCCTAAACGTACTACTTTAACAAGGAGCAAAGGACATTTTGATCCACAGCGAGAGAAAAGGTTTTCAAAGCAAATACCCTTGAGATAGAAAACAAAGATTCCACTCTCATTTACTTGCAACAGCAGTGGTTGAAGGAGGGTAAGACCGTGCTGAGAAGCAGAAAGAGCACAGGAGGCCCGGGGCAAGAGGAGGAGGTGAATCCCAGCAGGGGGTGGAAAGATGGAAGAAAAGGCCAAACCATTCGCTCTGACTTCCTGACTTTATCTCCAAATGCCCTGCCAGTGATACACTCATTAATGGTTTATTTGAACAGGCCAAGTATTCCCAAGGGACCCAGACTTCAAGGAACAGGACAGGACTGAGGGAACCGCAGTTAAGGTCAAGGGCCCGCTTAGTCTCATGGACTATACAGAGAATAGGAAAAATGGCTTGCCTTGGAGACAGCCTGGGAGCAGAAATAATAAGGAACTAATCATTCGTGCTTGGTCTGCAGTAATAGGAACCAAACAATTCATCAGAGGCCCCAACTATCTCTTGCCCAGACCAGTTTATGCCTAACAGAACCCCCTCACAACCCCATCAATGCAGGCTAGTGTTGTTTTGTTTTTGTTTTTGGAGACAGAGTCTCATTCTGTCATCCAGACAGGAGTGCAGTTGGTGCAATTCAGCTCACTGCAACCTCCACCACCCAGGTTCGAGCGATTCTCGTGCCTTAGCCTCCTGAGTAGCTGGGATTACAGGCATGCACCATCATACCTGGTTAATTTTTGTATTTGTAGTAGAGATGGGGTTTCACCTGGTTAGCCAGGGTGGTCTTGAACTCCCGGCCTCATGTGATCTGCCTGCCTCAGCCTCCCAAAGTGCTGGGATTACAGGCTTTTGAGCCATCCAACCAGGCTGGCATTGATTTTTGTTTCAATAGCTACTTATGCTCACCGTTAATGTGGCTTTTGTCACTTTTTACTGGCTGTTTACTTCTCATAAGTATCATAGAAGACTAATCAGTCAAACACTGACATAGAAATATAAATATAATTCTATTTGCTTCTATAATAAATCTTATAAACCCAGTCTAAAAAATTATGGTGTTTATAGTTTGCCTTGGTAACTCCTAGGCCTAGGAGGAGTTATGGGGTTGGGGTTGGTGCTGATGATGGGCTGGTCGTTCAGAGTGAAGAGAAGGACAAGGCTTCCCCTGCCCCAGATCAGCACTGTGCAGGAGAACTTTCCGAGACGATGCAAGTCTGTATCTGTGATGTCTAATACAGTGGGTTCTAGCCACGTGTGGCTATCAAGCACCTGAGATGTGGCTAGAGAGGTTGAGGAACTCAATTTTTAATTAATTTACATCTAAATTTATATAGCCACATGGGGTTGCTGGCTCCTGTATTAGTGAGGTTCTAGATAGATTAATGCTATTTTATACTGTTATTTTTCATGGATAGTTCTAATGAATCTTTGATTTTCCTTCTGAATTATTTCTAGGTGATCCCTCTCATTTTCTGGCAATAAGCTAAAGAAAAGGTGACTTGAGCTTCTCATGTGTTTTGATCACTCAACGAAGACAGAACAGGGTGTTCCATAACCTGATAGTGGGAGAGCACATTGAAAAAGGTAAGGTTTCTTTGGGTTTCTTCTAATTTCAGGTGTTCTCTTGTTCTTGACAATCCAGAAACCTTAAGCAGATTCATTAAACACCAACAGGAAGGGCTGGAATTTGATTTGGATTAACTAGGTTTTACAAAATACAGGATCTCTTTACGGCCATCTTTAAAGAGATACATAGGACGCATCCCTTGATACAGCGGTTCTCAAACTCTGGCCTGCATCACAATTTGAGGAGTTTGTTAAAACAGGTTCCAGGCCCCACCCTTAGAGATTATGACTTAGAGTGTCTGAGATGAAGCCTGTTTGGGTATTTTAAAAAAAATTGCCCAGGTGATTCTGATGCCTATCAAAGCTTGTGAACCCTAAATTATTCTATATGTTCTATGGGCTATCACATAAGGAAAAGCAGAATAGTGAGGTGCTGTCATGAGCTCTAACAGTAAGCATCCAGTTTTTTGATTGGAGGAAGTAGATTGTGGAAGATTTAAAACCAGGCTGGAGGCCACATGCCTTAAGGGCTGGCTCCCATCACCTCACCCCCAAGCTTACGATAGAGTGACTCCCAGTGGAACTACACTCTGGGGTTAGCACTGTAGATGTTTAGAGTAAAAGGCAGAAAAATTAGCTTGACTAACTAGTAATTTTAAAAAGCCCTTAGATCTTAATGCTCTGGAGTAGAACAAATGCCTTAAATGGCAAGATGAAGGCAGAAAGGCCACCATAGTTCTGAGCATCTAGGAGACTCTGACATCCATAGACAATTGACTAGGAGGCCATTATCTATCTTGGAGAGCCAGGGAGAATGTGAGAAGCCAGTGTCTCTTACCGCCAGGGCACTTAGATCAGACCAGGAGATAGTTGGTGGTGAAGTTACAGGTGTGACCAATTTGTCTGGAAATAATGATTGAAATGTCCTGTGGCTGAAAGGTACATTGACAATGCCATGTTGAAAGGGAGGGTGAAGACAGGGAGGTCCCATCTGCTGAGCACAGAATTCAATGCGCTTGAGAAAATTGGGCTAAAAAAAGAACAGAGCAGAAGAACATGCATGTGACAAACCAGGCTGACACATGGAATCGCTATACTCCAGAGGGACTTTGTTTCACCTGCCAATAGGTCCCTTACATGTTGTGTTGGCAAATTTGCCACAGAAAGAAAACTTGGGATAAATCCTATTATTGAGACAGTAGATATTACATAAAGTAAAAACTCACCTCTCAGCTTATTTGGCTTTTGAAAAATTCTACTTGGAGTTGCTCAGAGTGAGCTACATATTGAGATTTAAAAACTAATTTTGAAGTACTTATTACATACAAAATAAAATATTGTCTACATAGTTAAAGTCCACTTTGTACCTCCTCTTACTCTTATGTCCCTCCCTCCCCACCAGGGGCAACCGCGATCCTGAATTTGGCATATCTCATTTCTTTCATCTATCTATCTTTGGAAAAGAGAAACAATTATTCAAGGGTGCGGGTAGTGTGAGCGAGAGGAAAAAGATCTCAGAGTGTGCGTCCTTGAGCTGTTGATAAATTGCATGACCCGGGCAAGGCGCGTCTCCTCAGTCTCCGAGCCTGTAAACTGGGGGACTGGGCTGCATGGTCCCCAGGTCCCTATAGGCTCTCATTTGTTGGCCCAATCAAGGAGCCATCGTTTAAAGACCAGAACTCCCGTTTTCCTGGATTGTGGAAGGGAGTGTGGTGAGCACTTGCAGGTGAGGCCTCCTTCCCATGAACCTACTCTTCAGAGCAGGTCCCAAATTACCTCCTGAGTAGGTTGGCTGTATAGGTAGGTCCTCATCCACACACCTGTGGGTGCAGCAAGGGTGAGTGAATGGCCCTTCTGCAGACACTGCCCACAGCAGGCTGTGCTTCTCATTTATGTGCATATTAGTATTTTATATTTAATTGCAATATAGAAAGAAGGAAATCTGTGTTTCCAGAAAAAGGATTTAAGACAATATCAACATAAAAACTAGTTTGAAGGATTCGAGTTTGAAAAAAATGAATTAAATTCCATAGAAAAAAATTTTCTAAGGGAGTGCTTGGGGGCAGGTGGGTAAGGAGAATTCACGTAGGCACAGTGGTTCTCCCAGCATCACCTGGGAATGTGTTAAAAATGCAAATGATCAGTCCCCGCCCCAGACAGACTAAATCAGAAACCGTGGGGATGGGGAGCAGGTGCCTGTGTTTTAACAACCACTGCAGGTGATTCTGATAGTGCTCAAGTTTGAGAAGCAATGATGAAGGAAGTGTGTCTGAACTTAGGCTATGCTGTAGAGTCACCTGGGAAGCTTTAGAAACTCCCAATGCCCAGGTGCTAATGCAGACAAATGACAGCAGAGTCTTGGGAGGGAGGAGTTAGGTGTGTGAGGGGCCACGTGCATCAGTGTGTTTCTACCAAAAAGACACCTGCACTCGTATGTTCACTGCAGCACGGTTTCTGCTCCCCACGGAAGTGTCAATGTGCGGCCAGGGTTGAGAACCTCTGGTTGAGAGGTATTGGTGGATGTGTAGCCAGATCAGACAAAAGGCCAAATAACTGGTTGTAAGGAAATATACATCTTATAAAATGGTTGTTTTTGTTGCCGACAGAATCTAAAGGAATCCAATTTTAAATTTACCATTTTAGCCATTTTCCCTCCTCTTCCCCCTCCTGCTTCTCCTCTTCCCCTCTCCCTCCTCCTCCTCCTTCTTCTCTTTCTTCTGTTCATTCTGACCAAGCAAGGAGGCTCTGGAAACTGGAGTGCAGTGATGCAATCATAGCTTACTGCAGCCCCTAACTCCTGGGCTCGAGTGATCCTTCCCCCTCGGCCTTCTGAGTAGTTTGAACTACAAGCGAGAGCCACAGCATCCGGCTAACCATTTTAATTGTGCAGTTCAGTGACATTAAGAATAATCACATTGTTGTACAACCATCACCACTATCAATTCGCAGAAAATTTTTCATCTTGCAAAACTGAAACTCTATGCCCATATGAAAATAATGCCCATTCCCCCTCCTGCCATATTATTTTTTAAAAATGCATTTTGAAAACCAGTTGTAACTTACCAAGTCATGGACATAGCACATACAGGGAATAACAACCACCAGAAATAGTCTCCCTTGTCTGAAAAGACAGCCATGAGTATTCCCACCAGGGTAGCATTGTAGCCATAGAGCCCAGACGCTATTGATGACCTGCGGGGCAAGAGACACAGCATGGACATTTTCTGGGTGGGCTTTGGTTGCACTTGCACATAAATAACACTAGTAACTTCCAGATCATAATCATATTAAAAAATGAGATTATATTTTGAAATGTATTTCAAAATCTATATAAGTATTTTATAAAGACATGAAATGAAATATACATAGATAAAAATATAAATGTGCATTTAGATCTGTGGTCCCCAACCTTTTTGGGACCAGGGACAGGTTTCATGGTAGACAATTTTCCATGCATGGGGAATGGGGGATGATTTCGGGATGAAACTGTTCCACCTCAGATCATCAGGCAATTGTTAGATTCTCACAAGGAGCATTCAATCTAGATCTCTTGCATGTGCAGTTCACAATAGGGTTTGTGCTCCTAAGAGAATCTAATGCCGCTGCTGATGTGACAGGAGGTGGAGCCAGGCGGTAATGCTCACCTGCCCACCGCTCACCTCCTGCTGTGTGGCCTGGTTCACAGCAGGCCACAGACTAGTACCCGTCTCCAGCCCAGGGGTTGGGGGACCCCTGAGATAGAACGACTCCCTCCACAGGTGTCACGGCTAAAGACAGGGCTACAGTGGCTTAGCAAGGCAATTTGCTCTGTTTCCTTTTAGGCTTTCCTTTGGAAAGTTATTCTGTTTTAAATCAAGAGCCTCTGACTTGAATAGCGCCTTTAGCATACGAAACTGTTTCCTAAGTTTGATTTCTTGGTGAGAGATACAAGATTCCTGAAATGTAAATTCACTTTCATAGTGCCTTTGATCTTATAACATTCATCTTCCAACTTAGCATACATTTTTGTGTTCTTATGCTTCTATTTTGTTATCTCCAGATGTACATTTCCAAGTTATTACAAAGAAAACCATTGCTTTTCTCTTACTTGGAGAAGTACCTCGTTTAATTATGTGCATGTTGAGCATCCATTTCTTTCTGAGGTTGCTTTTTGCTTAGTATTCAACGTCACTTCTTCCCTGTCTTCTCCTTCTTCTACTCCTTCTGCTGCTTTTTTTTAGATTGAGGGGGTGCGTGTGCAGATTTGTTACATGGACATATTGCATGATGCTGACTGAGGTTTGGGCTTCTATTGAACCCTTCACCCAAATGTTGAACATAGTACCCGATAGGTAGCTTTTCAACACTTGTTTCCCTTCCTCTCCTCTTTTGAAGTCCCAGATGTCTACTATTTCCATCTTTGTGTCCATGGTTACTCAATGTTTAGCTCCCACTTGTAAGTGAAAACGTGCGGTATTTGATTTTCTGTTACTATGTTAATTCACTTAGGATAACGGCCTCCAGATGCATCCATGTTGCTGCAAAAGACATGATTTCAACCTTTTTTATGGCTATATAGTAGTTCATGGTGTATATGTACCACATATTCTTTATCTGCTCCACTGTTGATGGGCACTTAGATTGATTCCATGTGTTTGCTATTGTGAACAGTGTTGAATTGCACATGTGAGTGCAGGTGTCTTTTGGGTAGAACAATTTCCTTTCCTTTGGGTATATTTCCAGTAATAGGATTGCTGGGTCAATTTAGTACTTTGAGAAATCTCCAAACTGCTTTCCACAGGGGCTGAGCTAATTTACATTTCTACCAACAGTGTATCAGCATTCTACTCTGACCAAAATGGTCCTGGTTTCATAATTGATAAGTAGAAGGTCCCTAGTGAGAAACGGAGGAATTTCCATAGACTAAGCTCTAACGCTGACAAGCCAGGTCCCCCATAGCTCTGAGAGTTGACAACGTCTGGCACAGGATCCACTTCCCAAGGGCCTGGCACTCAAGGGCGATGTCTGTAGGGGGACGGGGGAGTAAAGAATGGTGAAGTGAGTGGGTGAGGTCTAATGCTGGGCTTGAGCAGGAGGTGCCCACACTGATTGTGGCTACAATCAGTGAGCCACACTGCAGGGGCTGGTACAGGATAGCGTGACAGCTGCTGCTTGGCTTGTTTCTAACTGGGCCAGGAGGCACGGTTGCAACAGGCAAGATGATGTCACATACATTAACCCGGATGAACATTAGAGGTGGGACTCCCTGTTCAAAAGTTCTTTGTCTCCCTTAAATAATCCTTGAGGGCATGTTGGAGGTGATGCAATTTGCAATGATGCAACCCGGAAATTGGGACTACACATGATGACAATGGAGAGCTATGCAGACTTGTCCTCTCAGCAGTTGACTTGGAGATGTTAATGCTTGAATCTGATGAGTGGAAAATTAATGGCAATATCTATAAGTTGTAGAATGCCATAGTTAAAGCCACAGCAAGACATATATTTACTTACAACACAGGATTGCCATTTTAATGCATCTTTTCAGACCAAGGAAAGTAAAACATTTGAAACTAACACATATACATATGACTTGTCTTCTAAGTAATATCTGACAAAAAATAGTTGATCATGTTTCATCAGAGCAAAACAAGAAAGGAATATTCAATATGGCGCAAATCTATATTCCATCCCCAAACTGAGAAGACCTTTTCTTGGCCTGCATTGGAACAGAGTTTAACCTAAGCTATACAATTCCCTTCTACAGAGAGCAAATCAGCCTTCTTGAAATTGATGAAAAAGTGAAACAGTTGCTAAGTATCTCCCCATGGACCTCTTCAAGCAATTCGCAGCAGTGTTACAAGAGTTTAGTTGTGTAATGACCACACTGGGGATTATGCGTTAATCCCAGACACCTGGAATACTGGTTCCCTCCATGAAGGAACTGGCTAGTGAGGCGCTGTCTACTGTCCTGAGACTTGCTGAGGCTTCTTAAGTCAGAATCTACTAACTTGGAATTTATAGTTATTCTTTTCTCCAGGAGCTGATCTGCCCTTTGCATTGTCTATGAAGAATGAGTTTGCCAAACTCATCATGGCAACAAGCTATACTGGGGGTTATTAAGCCACTAAAACTTTTCCTGAACTCGTATGCACTTTTGCTTGAATAGAATGCTGATGACAAATAATTTTATCAATCATTAAAGAAGATGCCTTCAGAACCTCTCCAGGGAATTACTTGTAGTTTAGTTCTGGTTAGCACGTAATGCTATAAGAATCTGTCATTATTTAGACCAGCCACTTATTCAGATATCAAAAGTAAGAGACTGTAACTGATTCTCTGACCTCTGACTAAAGGCAAATACAAAGAGTTCTGTGGACTACAGGTTGTTTCTCCTGGGAAGGATGTGGCTTTATTACTGTTGTTCATACTAACTTGTCAGCCCTGTGTCTTAGAAGCGAGCTGAGAAGTCTGAAAAGGGTACACCTACCTGTCCTGGCTGAGCAAGACGGCCATCAGAGTGGAGACCACTGTTCCCAGCCAGCCAGTGAGAGCCCACCAGGGGTTCCGAACAAGAAGTCCCACCAGAATCAGGATTCCACTGATGGAGTTGTTGACAAACACCACTTGGGATATGCCCCGAAGAATCCAGTCGACGAACTGGAGCACCACAGGTTTGTCTGGAAGGGATGAGAAAAAGCAGAGCTAAGGAAGCAGCCAGCTGACACTCTTCAACCACAGGCCCACCCTGAGCAAAATCAGCAAAATATCCTGGAAGTAAAATGTATTTTTGGTATTTCCTTATTTCTTTCTTTCTGAATGCTTTGTCCCTTTAGTGGCACCCGGATCCCTGCATCTATCTACCGTATGCTCAACTCACACGGCTCCTCCTAGAAACTAAGCTCCTGAAAGCATCGAATGCACTTATTTATCGTGCTTACAGGCACAAACTCTGAAGCCAAAGGAATGAATTGCCAATAGTAAATTTAACTTTTAAGTACTGAAACTATAGGATGAAGCCAGGTGCCTTCTTCTAATATGAGCTGGGCCCTGGCCACTGTCTCCATAAGAAAAAAAAGTTGGAGAAGTTTGTATGTTAAAAGATAAAAAGTAGAAAAACAGTGAGCAAAGAGATCTATAAAATGTTGGAGAATATAACTAAAGATATAAGTAGAAGTACCAGGAAACCATTTCCCCCAAAGCTACTTCTCCCATCTTTCCAAAAGATGAAAGCATAAATACCTTTAAGCCAGTTGGCAAGTTCTTTCATATCCCCGGTGACATAGCCAAGAGCTTTGGGGAAGCACCTTCTCCCTCAACATGGTGAAACTTGGTTTTCACCCCTGTCCTCTCTAACCATAGTGGGGCTATCCTCCAGGCTATCTCTTCCTCTGGTTCCTTGAGGGAAGGACAGAGTTCATAAGTATCCCTAAAGCAGAGCCCTCCAAATTAGCCAGCTTTGGGCCTGGTTGCAGTAGAAGATCTTGACCATTATGTTCCATAGAACTTAAGAGAGCACCATTTTCCTCCTGAGATACCACCACAGAGCTTATTGTTCAAACCCAAATCCCACAGTACCTTTGTCATCAGTGTCTCTAATGCTACCATGAGAAGTTTATTCTCATTATTTCATAATGTTCAGTGTCTGGTCCAACAAACATTTACTGAGCACATATTTCCTGCATTTAAGGAGCTCAGTCTAGTTGAGAAGACTGAAAAACAATAATGTCAACAGAATGAGTCAAATCATATAGAAAGAGCTAAATCCAGGGCTTAGGCTCCATGCTGTCAATTAAGGATCAAGAAATCATGTTATGGACTGGCCTGCTCACCAATGCAGGCTGATCAGCTACTTGCCAAGACAGGCAGCCTTTTACAATTAAGTTTTTATTTTATAAAAGTTTTATTTTTAAAATATTGAAAGGGAAGAAATTTTAAAAATTGTGTGTGTTGACATTGCCTCCCCACCCTCTGCTAGTCCAAGATTGCTTGAATTTGTCCTTATGTCATATGACTGCCTCAGATACACTTTACTTTTGGAATTTGTTATTTAAATGTGTAAAACCAGGCAAGAATGCTATTTCACCAAGGTAGAGAAACTGGGACAGATGGAATTGGACAAAGCGGTTGAAAACCAAAGAGCTGTAATCTAAGGATTGTATGGTAGAAAAATGTACAGGGCATAATTATAGTAAACACACCTCTGGAACATATGAACACTGTAACCATGACTGTGTTCACTGTGGTACCATTCACTTCTCAGGCTAGATTTCTTTTTCTGCAAGAAAGCACCAGTATCACCAGAATTTGGTACCTTGAAGACAAAAATGATGATTTCATAGTGCTGATGGTAGACACAAAAGAGTACCAGAGGCATAATCCCAGAGGCAGGCTGAGGGAGGAAGCCAATGGCAAAGCCACCTTGAGTGTGCAAGAACAGCCAACAGCACAGCCGGGTCAATTGGGAAGCAGGGAAACGCCAAAATCATCGGACCCTGGAAGGCATAATTGTGGAATGTTGAAGCCACAGCCACATAAGACACGACTACATGACTAAAGAAACACTGAAAGTCCACGCAGAGAAACCAGCCTATCTTCTCCGTGTTGCCAGGCTGTGATCAAATGGTCCTCATGGCTATTTCTGGCCCCATCATTGTTCCATTTACCACATCTAACAAATTATCTAACAAATAGCAATGAATAGATAGTAAGTTATATCTATTTTAAAAAACTGAACTCTAGATTTGGCTTCTATTAATCCCAGTAAGGAAATCAATATGAGTAACTGATTTATTGCTAACAATTACATTTCAATTGCATTACCTCACTGCCCAACTAACCATTCTGCTTTTTAAACAATGATGAACTATTGATTGTTGCACAAAAAAGCAGCTATTTATACACTGCATTCCAGACCAAGGTCATTTTGTCTTGGCAAAACAGTGTTGACACCAACATCTGTGTGACTTGCAGTGAATCTTGGCTATCAAGAACCAAAACTAAGTCCATATGGAGCCGACTTGGCTCCATAGTTAAAGATGAAAAAATGTATGAAAAATTAAGCACCTATGAAAAATTACCTTTTATTTTATAATCCGTCCAAGTGGTGGCTATTATTTATTTTCAGATTATCTCCCTCTTCAAATTTCATAGCTGAAAATATTGCTTGGTAAGTCCCTGCCTCTGCTGCAGTGACCCATTTTTAAAGCCATACCAACTTATGGGAGGCATCAGGCTTCAGCTCAGGCAGGGACAAGCAGCCCAAAGACATAACTGCCTTGAGTTTCTGGAACTGAATCTACGAAGCAGTATCAAATGCAAACACTCAGGTGGCATTTTCCATCAACTACCAAAGCAGGAACTTGGGCTATTTCAGAATAAATGAATTCATGTTCTCAAAATTTCCAGCATATATTTATTTATTTTAAAGGGGTTTAAATATCCCATCACCTCAGATTTTAGAGATACAGATTCAAAACCTGATAATATAACTGGACAGACAGGATCAAGAACCTGAATGGCCTGAGTCTCCTGTTGAGCCACCCAAAGTAGAGATTAAACTAGTTTTCTCTAAATCTATAGCCCAACATACAGAAGACTTATTGCAATTTGTGAATCTAATTTCAACATAATTGGGGTGGGTTGTAGGGCTAGGATGTCCTGCAGAGAAGGGTCTTCTCATGACCTGAGCGGACAGTTGCTGCTGTTTCAGAGTCCCCAGGAACCATTTATTCTGAACTGCTGAACCCTTCTGAGCCCCTGGGAGCCCTGACTACTTGCTCCAGAAGTCAGGCATGAGAACTCCTTAGGAGAAAATAACTTAAAGTTGTAATTCACCCTAGAATTTTGCCATGCAAGAATATTTGCATTTCTTGGGGAACTTTAAGAGTCCACACATCCTAACTGGGAAGACAATGCAAAGCTATGGAGCCAGGACCTTCTGCCGATGCTCAGACATCTTAGCCCCAGTGAAGCAGGCCATTAATTTCAACTAAGAAGAAGGGACAATAAATAAAAGTCACTCTAATAAAGTAGACATAGGGTAAATGTAAAACCACAGGTGACTTCACCCAGCTTTTTCTTTTTAATTTTTTATTGCATTTTAGGCTTTGGGGTACATGTGCAGAACATGCAAGACAGTTGCATAGGTAAACACATGGCAGTGTGTTTTTCTTCCTTTCTCCCTTTCACCCACATTTGGCATTTCTCCCCAGGCTATCCCTCCCCAGCTCCCCCACCCCCCGCTGGCCGTCTCCTTTTACCCCCAATAGACCCCAGTGTTTAGTACTCCCCTCCCTGTGTCCATGTGTTCTCATTTTTCATCACCCTCCTATGAGTGAGAATATGCGGTATTTCATTTTCTGTTCTTGTGTCAGTTTGCTGAGAATGATGTTCTCCAGATTCATCCATGTCCCTACAAACGACACGAACTCATCATTTCTGATTGCTGCATATATTCCATGGTGTATATGTGCCACATTTTCCCAATCCAGTCTATCATCAATAGGCATTTGGGTTGATTCCAGGTCTTTGCTATTGTAAACAGTGCTGCAATGAACATTCGTGTGCATGTGGCCTTATAGTAGAACGATTTATAGTCCTTTGGATATATACCCAGTAATGGGATTGCTGGGTCAAATGGAATTTCTATTTCTAAGGCCTTGAGGAATCGCCACACTGTCTTCCACAATGGTTGAACTAATTACACTCCCACCAACAGTGTAAAAGTGTTCCTTTTTCTCCACATCCTCTCCAGCATCTGTTGTCTCCAGATTTTTTAATGATCATCATTCTAACTGGCGTGAGATGGTATCTCAATGTGGTTTTGATTTGCATCTCTCTGATGACCAGTGATGATGAACATTTTTTCATATGATTATTGGCCTCTTATATGTCTTCTTTCGTAAAGTGTCTGTTCATATCCTTTGCCCATTTTTGAATGGGCTTGTTTGTTTTTTTCCTGTAAATCTGTTTGAGTTCTTTGTAAATTCTGGATATCAGCCCTTTGTCAGATGGGTAAACTGCAAAAATTTTTTCCCATTCTGTTGGTTGCCGATTCACTCTAGTGACTGTTTCTTTTGCCGTGCAGAAGCTGTGGAGTTTGATTAGGTCCCATTTGTCTATTTTGGCTTTTGTTGCCAATGCTTTTGGTGTTTTGTTCATGAAGTCCTTGCCTACTCCTAAGTCCTGGATGGTTTTGACTAGATTTTCTTCTAGGGTTTTTATCGTGCCAGGTCTTATGTTTAACTCTTTAATACATCTGGAGTTAATTTTAGTGTAAGGTGTCAGGAAGGGGTCCAGTTTCTGCTTTCTGCACATGGCTAGACAGTTTTCCCAACACCATTTATTAAACAGGGAATCCTTTCCCCATTGCTTGTTTGTGTCAGGTTTATCCAAGATTGCATGGTTGTAGATATGTTGTGTTGCCTCCGATGCCTCTGTTTTGTTCCATTGATCTATATCTCTGTTTTGGTACCAGTACCATGCTGTTTTGATTACTGTAGCCATATAGTACAGTTTGAAATCCAGTAGTGTGATGCCCCCCGCTGTGTTCTTTTTGCTTAGAATTGACTTGGCTATGCGGGCTCTCTTTTGGTTCCATATGAAGTTCATGGTGGTTTTTTCCAGTTCTGTGAAGAAAGTCAATGGTAGCTTGATGGGGATAGCATTGATTCTGTAAATTACTTTGGGCAGTATAGCCATTTTCACAATATTAAGTCTTCCTAACCATGAACATGGAATGTTTCTCCATGTGTTTGTGTCCTCTCTTATTTCGTTGAGCAGTGGTTTGTAGTTTTCCTTGAAGAGGTCCCTTACGTTCCTTGTGAGTTGTATTCCTAGGTATTTTATTGTTTTTGTAGCAATTGTGAATGGCAGTTCATTCTTATTTTGCTCTCTTTAAGTCTGTTATTGGTGTAGAGGAATGCTTGTGATTTTTGCACATTGATTTTATATCCTGAGACTTTGCTGAAGTTGCTTATCAGTTTCAGGAGTTTTTGGGCTGAGGTGATGGGGTCTTCTAGGTATATTATCATGTCGTCTGCAAATAGAGACAATTTGGCTTCCACCTTTCCTATTTGAATACCCTTTATTTCTTTTTCTTGCCTGATTGCTCTGGCTAGAACTTCCAGTACTATATTGAATAGGAGTGGTGAAAGAGGGCATCCTTGTCTATTGCCGGATTTCAGAAGGAATGCTTCCAGTTTTTGCCCATTCAGTATGATATTGGCTGTTGGTTTGTCATAAATAGCTTTTATTACTTTGAGATACGTTCCATCGATACCGAGTTTATTGAGGGTTTTTAGCATAAAGGGCTGCTGAATTTTGTCAAATGCCTTCTCTGCGTCAATTGAGATAATCATGTGGTTTTGTTTTTGGTTCTGTTTATGTGGTGAATTACGTTTATACACTTGCGTATGTTGAACCAGCCTTGCATCCCCGGGATGAATCCTACTTGATCATGATGGATAAGTTTTTTGATTTGCTGTTGCAATCGGCTTGCCAATATTTTATTGAAGATTTTTGCATCTATGTTAATCATGGATATTGGCCTGAAGTTTTCTTTTCTTGTTGGGTCTCTGCCGGGTTTTGGTATCAGGATGATGTTGGTCTCATAAAATTATTTGGGAAGGATTCCCTCTTTTTGGATTATTTGGAATAGTTTCAGAAGGAATGGTACCAGCTCCTCTTTGTATGTCTGGTAGAATTTGGCTGTGAACCCATCTGGACCTGGGCTTTTTTTGTGTGGTAGGCTCTTAATTGCTGCCTCGACTTCAGACCTTGTTATTGGTCTATTCATAGTTTCAGCTTCCTCCTGGTTTAGGCTTGGGAGGACACAGGAGTCCAGGAATTTATCCATTTCTTC